TTCTGCACGCACCAGTGAGGACGCCCTGTCCAGATTTATGGCAGCTTGTTCCGCTTCCAGGCTGGAAGCGCTGGAAGCGCGTCACGCGGCGCATCACGCTGCGCGTCGCGGCACCGCTGCACAGGTTGCTGCGCCCCGCCCGGCCAGCCCCGCCCAGCCCCGAACGCGCAGCGCGGAACGCACAAAGAATCGCATCCGGCCTCAGACGGCTCAATTTCCGGCGGATAGCGACAGAGCGCGACGGTGCGCGACAGAGCGTGCGTGTCGCGGACGCGTGTAAAACCAGTTTACGGACCGGTACGGCACGGCACGGTGCGGCGCCCAGGCCCCGCGTGCAGCGGGCGGGGCGATGACACTCCCCCTGATAATCGTGAGCAATGACGGGTGTCACGTAAGCGATGGCGAGCATGGCGAGCGCCACACAGGTCGACGGCAGCCGACCGGGAGGGCGGCATTGTTGTGGAGCACCTGGTTTACCGACCAGGATCTCCCTGCCCACACCCTACCCTGCCGGCTGCCGGCCGTCGGGTTTCAAGTACTTAGCCGAGGTGGGCATCAATTTTGTCAGTCTGTCCGTCTGCCCGCCGTCCCAGCTGCTGACGGCCTCGGACCGCCCCGGACGCGGCGGCGGGTCCCGTTCCAGGATGGGCCTGCGGCCTGCCCTGCGGGCGGCTGGGCCAGCCCCTGTGGCGGGGCGACTCGCCACAAGATTGCCAGCCGCCGGCCAAACTTTCTTCGCCATAAACCTTGGGGTCTACCGAACGCGGGTTCTCGCACACACACGCGGACTCACACAGACGCGTCGCGCGTGCGCAGACGGTGGCTCGAACGCCACCGCGCGGCCGACATCTAAATTGTGTTGCTCAACTAAGACAGGCTTCCTTTTTTATGGGCCCCGGGATGGCAGGGTGACAGTGTAGGGCGTGTTCCGCGACGACCGCCGTCACCAAGACGGCCTCGAAGACCGCCACCAAGGCGGCCGCCCGTGACGCGCGTCGCCTGCCGATTCGTGGGGCACAATGAACTCGCCAAATCGCTGCGCGGCGAACAAGAAATCCTCGCCGAAAATGGTGACGAGCCCCACACAAACGGGCCGTGCTCGTCACAATGGTCCGCGGGTGCGGCGTGCGGGGGACTCGGTACCCGGCGGCGGTTCCAGCAGCGCCGTTCCAGCGCGCCGTCGCCCAGCCCGCCAAGGACGACGAGTAGGACGTGTGGCAGGCCGCGCATGCCGCAGGGCGACACTTGTCACCTCGGTCACGTCCAGTCACTAGTCGCGGAGGGAGGGCACGAGATTGCGACGCCGCCAACAACGAGCAGGCCGTCGTCGCCACTGTCAAATCTGCAGATCAAAATGACGTCACTGGTGGCATTTTGATTTCGAATTATGACTGTTTTATCGGAGTCATGGTTTGGCATCATTTCCACTTTTCCACGCCCAGGCAGAGCCGCCTGTGAGGTAGGCAACCCGGCTGCGTGGCCGTGCGCCGGGCTGGCCTACCCTCGGCATCGCAGGCGCTGGCTGGGACGAACGCCACAATGCAGACCACTCCCCTCCCCTACACACGCACACACGTACACACGCTCCCATGCACCCACGCCCGGCCCCATCGACGTCCCATACCGAGAGCCGTACCGGCAAAGTGCACACCAGCTCGTGACACTTAGTCATGAGTGTCGCAAGGGAAGCGTCAGCTCCTCATGACAGATTCGTGCGCCACCCCTCCGGTGTGTGTGTGTGTGTGTGTGTGTGTGTGTGTGTGTGTGTGTGTGTGTGTGTGTGTGTGTCGTGTCTGTGTGTGGAGCGTGGAGCAGCAGCAGTCAGTCAACGCTGTCACTGCCGGTAGCCGTTTCGTGCTTCGGCGTGCATGTTCGGCGATCGCCACTCGACGCGCTACGCACCGCTTCGCACTGCTTTCGCGCGGAACGTCACGGCCAACACCGGCAGCCCTGCCGCCCTGCGCGACACTGCGAGGTGACAAATGTTGCGCCGCGACCTCTGGAAGGTCTGCAAGGATCTGGAAGGATCTGGACGGCGTAGAAGAGTCTTTGTGGTGGAGGCCGCGGCCGCGGAGTGCGCGAGATGGCGATGGCGTTCATCGACAGGTGTCCGCGACGCCTCCGTCCTCGCACTGCCACTTGGTGGGCTGGCATGGGCTGGCATGGGCTGGCATGGGCTGCCTGGGCCGGCCCCGCCTCGCGGTGTCATGATTAATGCCCGAGCCGTTCTGCGGTGTCATTCCGGCAGAAAAGCAGAGCCACTGCGGAAGTCATGACGTGTCTGCATGTGCGGCCGCGTCGAGCCGCGTTGCGAGGAGGGTGGAGTGTGTGATGCGTGCGAGTGTGTGGGTAGCGGGTCACGTATTGAGGCAAAGGAACTGACCTGAATCGGGGCAAGCAGCTTGGCGAAGCAAAGGTGTGTGGGGGAAAAGTCAGTGGGGCAAGGGTGTTAACGTTTCATTTGTTTCGGTTCGAGTTTTAGCGGACAGTGCTGTGCTTTCAGCAGGCCTACAGCAGGGGTCTCAGACGGGCAGCCCGCGGGCCGCTCCGGCCCGGTGCTCGGGAGCCATACGGCCCGCAGCAGGCCGCAATGGGGAAGATAGGCGGGCTACACACTCGGGCCGCACAGGTCCAAGCTCAGTCAGCGGCGGCCAGCGGCGGCTGGCGGCGGCGCGCTGCCTCGTCGCCCAGCTGTCAAACGTGTCAACCGGCCGGCTGGCCGTGGCTGGCCGGCATCTCTCTCACACTCACAGGGTCATATGGGAGGAACAAGGACAGTCAGCCCGTGCGGCCGAGGCAGCGCGGCGCTGGGTCGCCGCCGTCGCCGCTGCCGTGCGGCTGGGTCGAGTCCGGTGTGTCACACCTTCCCCGCCTCACTTATTCCATCTCCCATCTCTCTTCTTTGCCTTTCTCTCTCTCTCTATGCGGCCCGCAACCATGCTCACTCTGAGACCCCTGGCCTACAGGATCATTTGAGAAGCTGTGTGTGTGTGTGTGCGTGTGTGTGTGTGTGTGTGTTTGGTCTTGTCCTCTGGCTGGTCGGGGCCGGCGAGAGGCGTGGATGCGTAGATGAGGCTGTCGTACCAGTCGACACAGGGAGGAGGGGTGTTAGGGAAGGGGCCGCTGCGGGAGCTTAAACCTGCCCTCTCCCTCCGCACTTTCGCTTCCTATGCGCCCCGCCCCGCGCGGCCCCACCCCGCCTCGCCGGGCAGGGCACTTCAGCGGGCAGATTGGGATGCGATATCAGGCGTGGTGATCGTTGGTGACTTCCTGACTGCCGGGGACGCGGTACGCGATGGCCCCGCCCGACACGCCCAACACGCCCGGCAGGCCGACGACACACCATCACGCCCAGCTAAACGCCTACCAGTGTTTGCCCATCGAGGCACACCGCGGTTAACGCCGAGAGGCGAGCCGTGCGTAGTCGATCGTCGGACCGAGCACGCAGTGTCTTCCGGGGGAGTCACCAGGGTTGGCCGTGCCCGCCAGTTTACAAATGCGCTTCCCGAGGGGGCGGCACCACGCGTTTGTTTGCACAGGGGTGCCGTAGACCTAAGCAGCATGCAGGTCTGTAAACCTTTCCGAAAAGGTGCTGGAGAAAGGACCATTTTCACCACCCTAGCGATATGCATGACTTTGACGATGCTTGGAAAAGTAATTCAAAATCATAAGACTCGATTCATCGCCATGGTGCTTTCGCTGAAGCGTCGTTGTCGTCGGCGGTTCAGGAAAACGAGTCCTGGACTTGGCGGCGGGTCGCTCGGGGACCAAATCAGCGCCGTTTCGCGCGCGCCATCAACATGCCGACACACTGTGATGGCCGACGGGGACCGCGCAGTCACTACAGTGGCGGCGCGGCGCGGCGCGTGCCCGTTCGTATCAACCCTCGCCAACTTTTCCATACACTGCAAATCCTCCAACTTTGTTGGACTTTTCGTCAGCGGCGCCGCGAGACAAGTTTGGCGGGCCGGCTGCATTGCTCGGCCGTCGGTGGCGCTGGTTCCAGTGGCGACACGGCGCCAAACCGCCAAACCGCGAGGAGGCGATGGAGGGCGGTCTGGAGCCTGGGCTGGCCTGCCAACGAGGAGCCTATTGGCGCCAGCGCGCGGTTCAACCTGGGTCGACGCAGCTCCAGACGTGGCCACATCGAGATTCCACGGCCTACCCGTTCCGGAAAAATGCCCTCCGCTAAATTTATGGAAAGAAACTGCACCCACGGACGCGCACTGCACCCGTTGACGCTGTGGCGTTCGCATTCTGAGTGTAGACGACGCCAGCCACCACACTGGGGTGGTGAGCGGCACTCGGTAAGTGATCGACGACCCGGCCGAGGAGTGCGGCACCGCGCCTCGAAGTGTGTCAGTGATGTAGTGGGGCGGACAGGGAAAGTCAGAGGAAAGGCAACGCCTCGCGGCGAGTAGCGACGCAGAGCTTTGCAGTGTGGCGGCTTCGCATTCCGAGCGTCCGCACTGGCGGTGCACGTCACGGCAGGTCACTCCGTCCCCAAGTGAAGACGAGAGTGCCATCCCACTAGGGCAGTCGGCCCGAGTTGGACAGTCGAGAAACGAGGTCGAGACCACCGCCAGCCCCGCACGCCGGTAGCTGAGTAACCGGTAGGGGAATATTAATCGGACAGTCCACTGCCCCGCGCTGTCCCGCACTGCCCTCTCTGAGCGTCGCTTGGCCGCGGCGGCACTGAGTGCAGGCACCCGGCGCGGAACTCTCCCGCGGCCTGCGGCGGGAAAGCACGCTGAAAGCTGTCAAAACATTTTAGCACCGCCGAGTGTGGCATGCTCTGTTTATTCCCCGCGAATGCCCGCGAAAGCCGCGCCAATAGCGAATGGGGTCGCCAAGTGGTTTGCATTTTCCATTGCCATGCTAAACTGATTACCCCGACAAATTTCAGCGCGGCTGGGACTGCGCGGCAGCGATAGCGGCAACGGACAGTGCCGCCACCGTGACGGTCTGGACGAGGGTCTGGCGAATGGAGTCGCACTCACCGGGGCCCTTCGCCGGCTTCTCGAAGACGTGGCTCTTGGCGGCGTGGACGGGCGCCGTCAGCACCTGCAGCAGCACGGCCGCGACCAGGGCGACTCCGAGGACGCCGCCGAGACCGCAGCAGGCGGCGGTGGGGTGCCGGTGGTGGCAGCGCGCCGCTGACGACGTCGTCGTCGGCGACGGCAGGGCGCCGCAAGGGCCGCAGCGGCCGCAACAGGGTGGCGTCGGGGCGCTCGGGGCGGCGTGGTCGCGGCGAGCAGGCGGTGCGCCGGCGGGGGCGTCGGTGCGGCTCTCCATGAGGCCCTTACCATCCCGGCTGACTCCCTCAGTCGACTGACTGGCCTCGCGGAGCGGCGCCGCGTAGCGCCGCGCCGAGCGGACCACGTGCTGGTGCCGGCCCACTCTTGTTGTTGAAACCACCCCCTCCACACGGCCGGCGAGCCGCGGCGGGGCGGGGTGCGCCGGGGCGCGGCGGGGCGCGGCGGCGGTGGCGTGTTGAGGTTGCAGCGATGGTGTGTTCAGGGTGCTTGCTGCTCGGAGAGGGTGGTTGTTTTCCGCCTTCGGCTTTTCCAGTTAAAGAAGAGCTATTTTCATTTCCCGTTTATTTTGGGTGCGGGCACGTATCATTGCAGTGTTTACAGCTGAAGAGTTGATCAATCCACATTTGTTATCGAAATATATTAATAGAAGTAAAGGATAAAAATTCTTCCGAAAAAAACTTGTTTTATCCGTTTTAGTTGACCTGCCCCTCAAATGACCTTCCCAATGGAAATTACGAACTAAACGGGGCGTGAGACGCGGCGTCGCGGCCTCGCGACCACATCACCGAGCTGCTCCGTGGCGGTGAGGCTTGGCTTGGCGGTCCCGCCGGTGGCTGCCGTCACAGAACGCCATTCTTCCACGCTCCCCGGGGAGACTTCTCCACTCCACCTCACCGCCAAAAAGAAAGAGACGCATATCCTCTCTAGGCCACGGCTGCTGCCGCCGCTGCGGACTGATTCCGAGAGTCGCTTTCGTCGCTCTGTCTCTCTCACCTTTACTAGACGGTCCATGGATGCGAGAGAGACAGAGCGATGAAAACTACTCTCCGCTGCCGCACGCGCTCTAACGGAGAGAGACTTAACTGTCTCTCTAGCCCACGCCTGTCGCAGCCGCATTATCTGTCACGGCCGCAACTGCAACTCTCAACGCGCTGCAGCTTGACATGCCACTCCCCCTCCCCCCCTTACCTCCCACTCTCCTCCCTTAAATCTGTCTGGGAGCCGCTCCGCTACTCTCGTAACCTTTTACCCTCCATACTGCGCGGCGCTGCCCCAGGAACGCATCCCGGCGTCTCGAGAAGCTAGTTACCTTACAGCCTCCTCCCCCCTCCCCCGCCCTGCAGCCTGCTCCTCCAGGCTCCTTTATGCGCTTCACTCGTCGGGCGAGAAGAGGGCTTATCGTTCCGGAAAGGGAAATAAACTCAAGCTTCTCAACACATCACCTACTTTTTTCCCGCTCATGCACACACAAGAATACTTGCAAAAAAAGGAGAGGTCGTCATACAGCTGCAATTTGTAGCCGCACTGTATAATCCCGCCGTGTCTGTGCGCGGCGTTGCAGGCCGGGTTCGTCCGCACCCCTCATTTACCGGCCGTTCGTTTCAGTCGCGTGTTTGCCGTTGCCAAGCGACTATGTGCCTTTTCTTTTCCTTCTCGTTGTTTACTCTCTCTCTCTCTCTCTCTCTCTCTCTCTCTCTCTCTCTCTCTCTCTCTCTCTCTCTCTCTCCCCCGTGTGTGTGTGTGTGTGAGCATGAGTGTGTGTCGATCTCTCCCTTACCGCTCACTTCGTCGTTACATACATGCCTATTCCAATGTTTTAGTGCCGTGTCGACCATAGGTCGGTCGGGCAATGACATCCCATAGTTTCGCAAAAAAATGTTTTGAAGTTTAAAAGCGGAAGTGGCGCCCCGCCGCACCGCGCCGCAGGGTGGTGGGGTGTGATGAATGCCGAAGGCGCTCCAGGCACTGCGTGGGGCCTGGAGGGGCCTGGAGGGGCCCCGCGCGGACAGGTGCGATTGATGCATCGCTGATGTGTCCCCTGTGCTGCCGCGGCGGGGCGGGGCGGGGCCCACTGGGGTATGATCGCCCTGCCGCCACGTCGCCTCGCCACCGCGCTCAGATGGATGGCGGTCCTCCAATCATTGCCTGCTCAATCACGGGGTGTCTCATAGTCAATCGGGGCGGGCAGAGGCAGGCAGGCCTGGCCAGGCAGCGGCAACAACCGAAGCTCCAACTTCAGGACCGCACTCTGTGACGGCGAGCTCTACAAACGCCACACGCACAGCACGACCTCTTTTATAAGTCACAATCTTCAATATTTTCCCTACAGAACTTAGTAACTGCATAGTTTATGAGAGACACTCCCAAATTAAGTACAGTAATTTTTCGTTCCGGTTTTAGATGCCTTGTGGACTGAGGCCGCGCGGTCCTGGCGCTGTCACCGCCCTTCCAAGTGTTTGCAGGCGCATGCTGTAATTATGACCGCGTCCACCAATCGATGGATTAAAATGTTTACACGCTGCGTCTGTCCGCGTCCCCGCGTCCCCGCGTCCCTCCCTCCGTCGCGGTGAATCAACTTCCAATACCGGCCGCCGCCTTGCGCCGCCTTGCGCCGCCTTGTGGCTTGTGGGAACCGGCAGGCCGGGCGAGTAACTACGCCGCAGCGTTGGCCGCGTTGCGCGGGTCTCGGCTGTCGCCAGCGCGGCCGTCCAGGTGGGTCCTTACGGGCCGCGGGGCGGGGCGGGGCGGGGCGGGCTCAGCCGTCACCTCCTCGTCCATTCGAGGCTTTCCATAAAAGTGTAATCTGTTGGCCGTCATATTACCGTTAATAATTAATGAGCCGTCAGGGTGGCACCACTGCGCACCACTGTGCCGCCTACACCTAACCTCTCAATTAGTTCGACGCCACCGCCGGCCACTGTGCCCCCCGGGGCAGCCGGTGACGTCCCGGTCGGCCGCAAAAAGAAAACAAACGAGTCGCGCTTTGCACTGTTCGCGTTTCGGAACTTGTTCTCGTCGCGGCCCGGGCTCCTAATGATGGCGACTCGCGTGGCAGCTCGGGCAGCCCCCGGTAGCCCATGCGGTGCGAGAGAGAGGGCGCTAGCGAGCTTTGCAACGAATATAATCGATGCGGACGAAGAGTGTATTATGACAGGTCGGTTTTCCCCGCGCTGTCGGCACGCTGTTCTCGATAACGGATATGTCGTGGCGGAGGTTCACATCCCGCTGCCGCCGCCACTGCGCCCAACAAAACAAAAAATGCGGGACTATTGGCTGCTGAAAACTAACGCCGACCGCCGGGCGAGAGTCCTCTGTCTCTCTCTCTCGCTACCCCGCACGACCCAGTAGTGCGGCAGAGACAGAGCGATCGCTTCGGAGGCAGTCTGCTGGTGGTATCGCTTTCGCTTTTTTACCCCGCAGCCCGCGGCTGCAGACTGATTCCGAGAGTCGACTTTTCGTCGCTCTGCCTATCTCGCGCCTACACGGGACGCGCCTGAAGTGCGAGAGAGGCAGAGCGACGCAAACGGTACTCCCGGAACCAGTCTGCTGCCTCGCCCACGCGGAATGCCCGCCGCCACGGCCAGAAAGTGCGCCGCGGTGGAGGCAGCACACTGACTCCGCCTTCGTTGCCGTCTCTCTCGCACCCACAGAGGACGCCACATGCGTGCGAGATAGACAGCGACGAAAGCGGCTTTCGGAAACCAGGCTAGTCGTTACCATAATCCGGACGTTCTGCCAGCTAAGAGTAAATCGCGGCTGCCCGTCTTGGCGGCGCCTCCGCGGTCCCTGCGGAGCATATTAGGAGCGGCGAGTGCTTACGCAACCCCATCGCTGCTGACCCCAGCCCGTCCCAGCCACTCCCGAGTCAACATCGGCAAGGAGAAAACGAGCAGGGCGCTCATCGGACCGCGTCGGCCGTACGGATCGCACACCCTAAGTACAAAAAAATGATGAGAAGTCCGTGGAAAATTGGATGAATTGACTCTCCGGCCCAGGCACGGTAACACGGGTCTCTCTGTTCCGTCTGCCGTGTTCCAGTCAGTTGATTACGATGGGACTGATTTCCGTTTGCTTTATTAGTGTTTTGTTTTTGTCTATTGCTGCTGCGCCAGTAACCGGTAGCCCGTGGCGGCGTGGCATGCCTGCTGCCAGTGCAGTGAACGGTACGAACGGTGTGCATGCCAGGCCCACACGGCCGCTGCTCGCCCAATACACTCGGCACATAAGCCAATTGTACGCCAGGTTGACGCCACCAGCAACGCAACGCCGCAACGCAAAGGCGAGGGGGAGGGGGCTCGTCCTGGCCGTGGCACAGGTGGGGGAAGGGGCACCATGTCATCCGTACAACCCAGTTAGGCTCGTGCCAAGGTTCGCATCACACGGAAGACTTTTTTCCCGTTTCTGCTTTTTTTTTTGCTGTGCGCCTGAGTGGTCGGTGCGTTGTTGTTTGTGTACGGCTTCGCTGCTGGCAGGCAGCACGACGCACGCCGACCTCGACGACGACGGCGGTGGCCACGTCCTGGCCGCGTCGGGGTGCAACACCCTGCCGCCTCACCGGCTGTCCCCACGAGGCAATCAGAACGTGCGGCAGCCACTCCAAGGGTTGCGCTGCCCGCGGCACGCCGCCGAAGCACGGTAAGGGTGGCACCTTCGGCCCGCGACGTCTTATCGGGTGCATCCCTGCAGCCCCGCCTAGCCCTCCCACCACGCAGTCGCACGCAGCGCGGTCCCCAGGGGTGTACTCGGCCGGCTGGGATGAGCGAGGCTAGGCGACGCCAACCACCAAACCGCGCCCTTATGGAGCGGGGCGGGCCGCCTGCCTATCCCCTCCCCTCGCCTATCCCCGGGCCATCGAAATATCCCTGAGTAAATAGCTCACAAATAGGCTTCTTTTGTGGCGCTTAACGCAACGTTTGTGCAGCGTGGGGTGCGGCGGTGCGGTGGCGCGGCGGCGCGGCCGGAGGGTGGCCGGCAACCGCACACCGCGCCCACACCGCCGGGCCCGCCCTTGCAAGCAAACATTACACCGACATTGATTGCATTTCCTGGATGCAATCTTGCGGCGATGATTTGATTCATCTCTGCTCCGAGGCATGCAGGCCTGGAGGGCTGCAGCGCACGCGTCGGGCGAGGCGCTGTTGTGTAAATCCGCTGTGTAAAGAAATTTCTTCGCGGCGACGCGAGCGCCCTGAAACCCTATCTTCGGAAAATGATTGTTGACATTTTCCACGCTTTTGGAACGAAGAGCGGGAAATGGGAGGCTCATGCCGAGTCAGCCTCCAGTGCCAGATTCCAGCCTGCAGCCTGGCCGACGGTTCAGCGGTTGCCGCCAGCGCCGGCAGTGCCGCGCCCCGCGCCGCATAACGGGTGAATTACTTCGACCTCCGGGGCGCTTTAAGAGTGCGGTGGGTCAAAGGAATGCCCCTCCAGGGCCCTCCAGGGGACGCTGAGGCGTCACGGCTCCAGGATAATTGCCCCTTAACCTAGGCCAGCCTCGCCAGCCGCGCCAGCCGCGCCACAGGTGAGAAGTTGGCCCACGGGGGCCGCGAGCTGCTGCCGCGGCACCGCGCAGAGGAATATTGTGATTTGCGTCCCGGCAACTTTGCCGGCGGAAACGCGGCCGCGGGCGGACCGGCGCCGAGGTCTCCGCAATCGCCGCGCCCCCTGGAATTGGTACTGATGGAGGTGGGGGAAGGGAGGGGGCGAGAGGAACGCGCGCCTGCAAGGTAGGCCAGCTCGGCGCAGCGGAACGCAGCTGCAGGACGGGTTGCCTACTCTGCGCTCCGCAGGCGGCGTCACCCTGCCGAACCAAGCGTGCTGCTGGCTGAGAGAAAATCATTTATTCTTCATCATTAGTCTTAAAAAGTATTGTCAGCACTCATGTAGCGTTAAAAAATACTCTCATCAAGTGACACGAGTAACAGTGGCGTGTCTCAAACCTGCTGAGCCTGCGCGACGGGCACGGACTCGGTGTACTTCTTCTTGCCCTCATTGCTTTTCTTGGGGTGCTTGAGCTCGACGCGGGCCAGCACCGGGCCGCTCTTCTTAGCGGAGGCGCCGTGCTTGCTGGCCTCGGCCTCCTTGACAAGCTTGGACACGAGCAGCGAGATGGTGTGCTTCTTGACGCCGTGGACGTTGTGGACGTGGAGCAGCACGCGCAGGTCCTTCAGCGTGTGCCCGGTGATCTCGAAGCTGATGTCGCTGTTGGCGGGGATGGTCTTGAGGTGCTTGGCGAGCACGGAGAACGGCACGACCTGCGACACGCCACCCTGCGTGACGCGGAGCTGGCGGCGGACGTGCTTGCCGCCGAGGTGGACGCCAGCCCACTGCAGCTGGTGGCCGTCCCAGCGCAGCTTGGACGACTTCTTGGACGCCTTCTTGGAGTGGGCCTCGGAGGACTTGTGGTGCTTGAGGTGCTCCTTGATGTGCTTCAGCACGGTGGACAGCAGCACAGACACGCTCTTCTTCTTGTTCTCGCCGTGGCGGCCGATGACGCGCAGCACGATCCGCAGGTTGTGCCAGGACGAGCCCCGGATGTCCACGTTGATGTGGCTGCCGGCGGGCACGTGCGAGAGGTACTTGGCGAGCAGGGCGAGCGGCAGCTTCTGCGTGACGCCCGCGTGCGCCACGGTGACGAACTTGCCCGAGGCCGTCTTGTCGTTCTTGCTGTGGACGTCGGAGTGCTGCCAGGACAGCTTCTTACCGTCCCAGACAAGGGCGCTGTGGTGGCGGTGGGGTTTGTCACCGTGCTGGTGGTGCTCGCCGTGCTGGTGGTGCTCGCCTCCGTTCTGGCCGCCGGCGTTGATGACCGCCACGACGCCGCCGCCGTGGGGCACCCGCAAGCGGTACACTGTGCTGCTCTCGGGGTGGTGGCGCGCCCAGAACACCAAGTGCCTGATCCACCTGGCCGACGCGGCCCAGGCCCGGTGCACCTCGGCGGCGACGTTGTGGAAGAAAGAGTCGGCGGCGTCCCAGCCGAGCAGGAAGCGGCGGGGCCTGTGGTGGAGGGGCCCGGAGTCACCGTTGGCCCCGGAGTGGGGCCCGGCGGCCGCGAGGCAGGCCAGCGCCAACACCAGCACCAGGGAGAGCTTCATCGTCAGAGAGAAAACTGAAAACCGAAGGCAACGATTATCATCACGTGATTTTCCCCGCTTTTCGTCCGCCGGATCGGCGACCTCTCCCTTGCCTTTTTCGGTTGGATGATGACGTGATCGGCAGCGCAAGCAAACGCCTTCGCACGCTAGGGCGGTCGGGCCGCGAATGCGCCTGCACTACTTGGCGACGTGGGCCGCGCTCTCCACTGCGGCGGGCGGCGCGGCCTGCAGCACGACCTGCAGCGCGGCGGGGCGCGCGGTCACGACACGGACAGGTGGCGGCATGTTCGAGAAGCGTCCTGACGTTGACTCATCCAAACGCCAGGTGTGGCGGGCGCAGTCATTTCGGGAAATTGCGACAAGGTTCTCAGCGGAAAAAAATATGTCCAACAGAACACAAGTCGGGTTGGCTGGCTTCGCCTCCAGTCCAGGCTAACGCCGGCCGCGTCGCCGCGTTCGGGACAAACAAACACGCAGCTTGTCGTCGCGGCCTTCGCCGGAATGCGCCATTGCACCGCGCCACTGTGAACTGGAGCAGCGGGCCGTCGTAAGTGGAATGGAACACCTCGCCACTGTGTTCTTACCTCGGCGGGCGGGGGCGGAACGGTGACCGTAATGACTCAAAAATTGTTATAATATAGGTGGCGTGCCCAAGGAATGGCCCCGCCGCACCCCGCCCCGCCCCGCCCCGCCAGGACCCCGCCATGCAGCAGAGCGCGGGGTGCGGCGGGGTGCGGCGGGCTACCGGGTGGAATGTCCCGCTCGCGTGTCCGTCTCCGCCACTGCTCTGCACTGCCCCGCCACTCAGGGTGGCGTCCGGAGTGCGGGCCGCTCGCCGCGGCTCGACGCGTGCGACACAGAGGGCGTTGCTTTCCGCGAAAAGGCCAGCACCGCGGTGCAGTGGCGGGCGGCGTCCGAAGCTCCAGCGTCTCGTTAGGTCGGCCGCATGGAGCGACGGGGACGGCGAGCCACTTTCGGAACAGCGCGCCCCTTCCCTCCCCAGGCCCTGCAGGGGCGGCGGCAGGACGCGGCGCCCGAGATTTGCTGCAGTATTTGCCAACAGCAACTCCACAGCCACGCGACTTTGTTGAATCGCCTTCCTGGGCGCCACGTCGTGCCGCAGTGAACCGCGAGGCAAAGCCAAGCACGTCACGCCCCTGCCGCCGGCTCACCACGCCGACGACGCGGCCGTCGTGAGCGCCGCCGCGGCCGGAACCAGGCAACCCTGCTGCAAACAGGAAGCGGGTGTTCCCGCTCCGAGCCCCGCATTTTTGTCCGAGCCAACCCACCAGCCGGCAGCACTCGGTCGCCACTTCTTTATACGGCCAGTCGCTGCGGGTCATAAATCCTGCATGAAACGAGGAATATTAATATCGGCCTTGGCCATCAGCTGAGACGAAAATATAATGTTCGGCGGTGGAGTGCCACTGCCGGCCGCGGGGCCGGGGAGTGCCCGGCGAACCGACCGCCAGTGGGACTGGCCGCCGCACGCTGCCCGGGTCGCGCGCCGAGCGAAACGCGCCGTCTGTCCTCGTCTCGCCGCGGATTCCCTGCGGGTGGGAGCGAGACAGCGAGACGGTGGCGCGGGCCTTCCCTCTACCTGGCCGAGGCGCCGAGGCCGAGGGGCGGGATGGCGTCGCTATCCCCTCGCTAGGCCGCAAGGGGGCGCTGCAGGCAGCACGGCCCGGGACTCCCCGCGCCGATACTCCGCGCACCGCCCCAGGGGCCCTCGGGGCGTGGGGTATGGCCGCGTCGCGGCGGCGCAACAGGTGAAGGGACGCCGCCGTGCCTTGTCGTGCCTTACCAGCTGGCCGCTGCCGCTGGGCGGGCGACCCAGAGACCACGCCGACCACGCCGCGCCACGCCAGCAAAGCGAAGCGCCTTCGCAACACTCATTTGGCGGCCAAGCGATGCGATTAAGTGCGTTTTCGACGCACTCCATTTTAAATAGCAAAGACAAAGGTTTGTCGCTTACAGACAGACAGACTGCCTCACCGTCTGCACGTTTTCTTTCGTGAGAGGGGATGTTGCCACTTTTTAGGTCAGCTAGTTTCGGGACGACAGGCTGCACTCGGTCGGTGTTGGCCCAGTGGTGATTGTTTCCTAGGTTATGTTGGCAGCGCTCTGGCGGGATAGCAGTTGGGGGCGTGCGCGCCAAACGACGCTCGACTCTGAACACTCTGAATGTGAAGCACGACGCCGTCCTGGTCGATGGCGGCTTCCAGCCCGCGGGCCGCGGACATGACTGCCGACTGGCAGGAGCCGGTAATGATGTCTGCAGAGGATTCCGAACGCAAAAACCGTACCGCGATGGTGTTTGAACCGCGGTCCCTGGGCCCTACAGGCGGTGCTGGCCGGCCGGTGGGCGCAGGCACCCGCCAGCCTGCGCATCCGCCACGCCCTGGAGGACAACAAGGACGTCCTGTCGTGGCTGCGGAAGTCCAAGGCGCCCGGGCCAAGCACCGCACGCGGGCTGAAGCCTCCCGGCACGGCGGCGAGGCCCACGACGGCCACGGTGGGCGACCCGCAACATGGTAGGCATGCATGGAAACACAGCGCAACGGAGATCCATTCATTACGACACGCTGGCTGCATCCGAACCGGGTACAGTAGCGCTGTCTCTCAGTCCTGTACGACCATATTATGGGGGTAAGAGATACATAAAACTTGCTGACTGATGGAAAGTGTGGCGACCAGAAAGAAAGGGGGTCGCCGTCAGAGAGAGGGTGCGTGGCCGAGGCAGCGCCGACGGCGGCGAGCACGGCCTCCACCACGCCAAGGTGCGCACGGCTGCCACCATGACCAGGTGAGCCGAGGTAAGTGGGCGTGGCTTGCAACCGAAAGCACGCCGACGCGGCTAGGTCGCTGACGGCCGCCTCTGCTCCGCAGGCGCAGTGCAGCCGTTGAGGTTGACACCGCCCGGCCCGGGCCGGAGGCCCCGCGGACTGCGGCCACACACTGGCGCGCGAGGGGCTCCTTCACGGCCAGGACGACCGCCAGGACTACCGTCAGGCCCGGCGGGATCCAGCTGAAGTGAGTGCTGATGCCAAGCGGTTTAATCTTACCGATTCCGTATAACAGGAAGTCTCTCTTGACAATGTTGGAGGACTAAGAAAACAACGGCCGGCTCGCCCTTGAGGGTCCCGCTGAACAGTTCTTCCAGCAGCGCTACCCCCAGCACAGCCGCCCTGCCCCCGCGCGCGTGAGTATCGCCGCTTCGGCCCCAGCGCCCCCTCGCCGCACGACAGTCTCTCGCAGCGCGGGGTATCTCCACAGCCCTTCGGACCGCGGCCTGCAGCTGGGCCCTCACGCAGGGGGTAGCCGCGGTAGCGAGGCAAGTGTGAGCATTGGCAGCGAGGCCTCCGGGTCCACTGCAGGGCTGCACCCGCGGCCCCCGCCCACCTCGGCGAGGTCGTCCTACTGCAGCATCGCCGAGTGAGCGAGTGCGAATGTGCGTCGATTCACTCTAATGATCATTTGCAAAAATTGAAATGTTGACATGGTTTTGAGGCGCAGCAACCACGCTGGAGCGGCTAGCCTCGACCTGCAGGCGGCCTTCGAGGCCATGCTCCGGCGCCACCAAGCTAACCAGGCCCAGCAGGCAGGCCGGGAGGGCGGTTCGCTGCGAGGCACCCCTGCCATGCAGTCCTGCAGGGGGGTGGCGGTGCCGGGCGTGGCGGTGACCGCCGAGCCGCACCACGTCCACTGGGACCACTGGGACTCCTGTGGTGCCGGCTGCGGCGGCTGCGGCGGCTGCGGCTGGGATGAGGTGGAGGCTGCCGTGGCCGCGGCCGAGGCGGCCTGCTCCTGCTACCACCGCAGCAGCGGCCCCAGTGCGACGTCCAGCATGACGCATCGGCCAGGGCCGGCCTTCGGGGCCCTCGGGGCGCACAGGACGCGCAGCGGCAGGGCGGGGGAGGCCAGAGAGGACCCACACCCAGCGCCGTCCCCGGAGAGTAGCAGTGAGGTGAGATGACTGCAACATCCTGCACCGCCAGGCCCGTGCACTCTGCCCACACGCGTCCACAGGGGTGGCCCACACGGCCGGGTGGCCCGGCTCGCCGGCCCAAGATAGTGGCGGTTTAAGCCCGTTTCAGGAGCACCGGCAACGGGTTTGTTTCTGGGCGAGGCCCGGTGAGGCAGGGCGCGGCGGGGCGAGGAGGGGTCGGGCCGCGGCCGCACAATCCCCGCCTTATCATTGGATTCCAGGTCCCCCGCCGAGGCCGAGGCCCCGGGCCAGGGAGAGGCCGTGTGCCGTGCTGCCTCCGGGGCGGCCTCCGGGGCGGTCCAGCCGACCTGCTGAGCGAGCCAACTTCCCCGGCGTCTGAGGGCGGCCGAGGCATAGGCCCGGAAGAGCTGCGGCAGCAAGCCTCGCCGCCATCCCCGGCGTGCCCGGCGTGCCCGGCGTGCCCGCCCCGCCGCAATGTGGACGAGGTGACGTGCCGCGCCGCCTCGCCCCGAAGCACGTCGCCGTCCTCGCCCCCCGGCGTGGCCGCGGGCGGCGGCGCCGCCACGCACGGCCAGAAACGCGACCCCGGGGACGAGCAGGGCGACGAGGAGGGGGACGACGAGGCGGCCGTGTACTGCGACCTCACATCGGAGCGCACCATGCAGGAGGTCCAGGTGGGCTGGCTTGGCTGGCTTGGCTGGCCGGCCGCGAGGGTGACTGATGAGGTCGAGGTTTGAGGTGTGTCCTTGCAAAGGCGGCGCTGTCACACTCCATGGACCTGCTGGGTGCGGACAGCCAGGATGTCCCTGGGCTAGTGGTGCCGCGTCGCGCTAACCCGATGCCCGCCATCAGGAAGTCCGCGTCGGCGACCACGGCGCGGTGGGCCGAGGGCCGCGTCAAGGGTGGGGAACTTGAAACAACAATCTCACCAAGGAGGAAAGGATAAGAACGCTATACTTTTCCTGTTTGCTTTCGTTCTACTGCCGCAGACGTGAGACTTCCGTTAGAGGTTCGATCCTCCCCGGCACCGGTGGTCCCGTCAGCGGTCACGCCGCCTCCAGTTCCCGCGCCACCCGAGACGCCCGTTCCCGACGCCATCGTCTTGTGCGACGTCCCAGTCGTGGCCGGCGTGGGGGACGCCGACATGTCCAAGGCCGTGGACGCCAAAAAGGAGGCGTCGTCCACGCTGGGCCCGTCCGGCGAACTGTTCGGGGACGCAGCGGCCGACGGCGGGGTGCCCGCTGAGCCGGCCACCACCACGCCGCGAACCTTGCCACAGCGTCCACGGTCGCCGCCCAGAGCACCACGACGAACCGCCGTCAAGCCTCTGCCCGATACACCCGTGTGCGGCCGAGCCCCCGACACGTGCTCCAAGCTCACGGTGGCCTCCGTCTCCCTCATGCTGCCCGTGGTCGTCCTCGCCGCCATGCTCCTTAAAATCCATTGCGACCCCACCGCCATCCTGGATGATGCGTTCGATGACCTTGCAGGTGATAGCATTTTCCATACCCCTTACGATATTTAAACGTTCGGGAGTCCAGGTAAACGAGGTATGACGGCATGGCTTGATAAAAATAATTTTATAATTTATTTAAAACGAATGATGCACAACGCACGGTTTGTACTTTTTCTAGAACAGTGAATCTGGTTCACAGACATAAAAAGAAACATTTAAAAAATACCCGCGTACTTAACTAGTAAGTCTTGTCCAAGTCTTATGAAATAATCCGTAATTTAAACAGGAATAAAATATCTGCATGATTTCAAAAAAATAAAAAAAACTGTAACAACCACTCTTATTTCTGCTTACACGCCTATCCATTCATACATACACATTCATAGGTACATCCACTCACACATGCTAAGAAAGGCTTTGTGTTCACCCCACCACGTCGATGGCGATGCTCCCGGTGACGTCGACAAGCTGCCTCGAGTTGAACGCGGCGACGAGTTTCAAATTGCCCGCGCGCTGGGGCCAGATGCGCTGCTCGATGCGGACCGTCTCCCCCGGCATCACGTCCCTGCCAAACACATCGTGAAATCACCACTAAAGAATAACTGTTATTCCCCACAACACGATTACTCGATCGGGGCGCGGCCGGCGCGGCCGGCGCGGCAGGGTGGGGCGCGTGGCCCTCGCTCGGAGGTGGGAAAAAGTCGAGCGGCGCGCATGAACAGCCCATCTTCGGTGCCGGCTCGCTCGGCCACGATATCGTGGCTACACCAATACGGTGCCATTAGGATTAGGGCCGCGCTGTCCGCATGACGTCATCATGACGTCATTCCCGGCTGGCATATTGGCGCTTTGGCCGCGGTGAACTACCACCACGCCCGCTGCGGTGCCCCCTCCCCCCACATCCCCGGCATTATATACTGTACCGGTACGCCAGGACCGAGTTGCGGACCAGCCCAGGCCCCTCGGACCGGAGCGAGCAGTCGGTGAGCACAAGTTGGAGTGGGTTTTGGAATTCAAACACGACGGAGCAGGACTCGCCCACGGCCGGCTGGTCTTGGACCTGAAATAACATGAATTGTAGTTTTCAATTAGCGAGACGGTCGGCAGCGCAGCGGCACGGCAAGGTAGGAAGTTAATTTAGGGGGACGGGACGTCAGTGGACGTCAGGCGTCCCGTGCTGCTGCACTGCGGAAAAATGACTTCGTAATCATGTCTGCCGACTCGGGCGAGCGAGGCGAGCGAGGGCCGGCGGGAGTAGTTTTAAAGGTAAACACCCAGCACTAGCTGAAGCCGGGGCCATGGCCGGCCGGGGCCAGCCGTGGCGCTATTTGCAAGCGCGAACGCACCGTTATGTTGAGGACGGGCACCATGACCTGGAAGTCGTCCTCCGCCGCCCAGGTCTGCTTCGTGCCCTCAACGCTGGCCAGCGCGAAGATCTTCATGTTGTTGTACTCGACGAGTTTCTCGGCGTATTCCTCCGGGTCCACGGACAGTCTGAGAACGTCAGCTGGCGGACAACAAAGAGGAAATTAGGTCGACATCAACGTGCAACTCAGTTTGAACTTCGGGGCGACAAGACAAAGTGGGCTGGCCAGTCCTATTGATTGAAACAAGTCATTCAGAAACGCAGTGTAGAGGTTAGGTAGCCGGACACCACCATTTTTCCACATATACACGTAAAATAAAGTCACGCGACGTTTTCAACACGAAAACCGACATTAAAGATAGTCTGATCACGACTTGTCAATCCTTATTTGTCCTTCATTTCGCTAAACCAGCTGTTTTAACTCCCAGTGCGATCGTTAACTTATGGACGACTGAACAACAACACAACAAAGATGACGCAATGTCAATTTCTCATACCGGAGAACCAACTGTTTTCCGTTCCGTTACTTTTGTTCTTCTCTCTATTTAGCTGAAGTGGCGGTTTATCAGTGGAACGGTGTTGGCGCCTATATGGCCGTTTGTTTTTGTTGTGTTGAAAATCAGTAGTGAGGGCGTCAGATAATTATATTTCTGTGTAGTTTTCTGTGATGACGACTGTTAGCGAATCGCCGGCTTTTTGGAAAACATTCGTGAAACATCAGTTGGATTCTCAGATGGACTTCGCGCCGCTCAGTGCAGCTTGGAATGCAAGTTTATCAGCTGCTAACCTTCAATCTCGAGGCTGCCGTTGGACAATTCAAAGTGTTGGATTATTGAAAATGTGAGACTGCAAGGAGCAGTCGGTCACCTGGTCCACAAATTTCTTCAGATTGGGTGTAACAGTTGCTAAGGTGAGTACACAGAACTGAAGCAACTGGGTTTCAAAGAAACGCCAGCTTGAAAACTCATTTGGAAGCGAAGTCGGTCTGCAATTTTTTAGTTTTATGAATTTGCTGGTTTTGTTTCACATCTCAGTGCTTACGTAAGCCTAGATAGCTGCTTTCTGGTGACTGGTCTTTTGATCAATGTGTATCGCTCAGTTCAGTTCTAATTATAACACCCAAATATGCATTTTAGCTGTCACATTTAAAGGAGCGTAAAAGCTAGGCACGTTGCTAGTGTCACATTTCAAATAAATTTAAATAAATGTGACCGATCAGCCAAATCTATTCTGATCACTTCGATTCAAATTGTCACGCGCCCAAAAATGTGTCAGTTTTCACATTCATTGGAGTGTCGCATAACTGTTCTGGAATACTAGCGAAGGAATTCATGTCAACAAAAAGAAAGGCAGAAAAACTATTTTTTTAAAAAGAATGGTCTGAATAATTTCCTTTTGCAGAGGGTTGCCAAGTGAAAAACGATGGGCAATATATATAAGAGGCAGTTGCTATTAATTAATTGCTCACTGGAGTAGGGCTGGACGGCGAACGTCCCGCTGGCCTTCTTCACGATGTGCGCCTTGACACCAGTGTAGTAGACGGAGGCCGACGACAGCGCCGCCTTGACGACGCGCTCCTCCCCAGAATGGTTCTGGAATCGCAAGGGAGAGAAAAAAAAAAACATGACGGCTTTTCTTGCAGCCAAGCGAAATAACAATCATGTGGAGCAATGTTGAGCTGGAAAGTGTGTTTGGTGTCCCCGGCATAATCGCGGCCGTTTTATCGCTATCACAGGCGAAGACTTGGTGAAGCCTCCCCTCCCGTCCCTCGCGCTATTGTAACCCTTCGCTCGCACACACACAGAGTCGCGCCATCTGTAAAAGGAAAAAATGACGTCCTTTCACCCCTCTTGGCAGTAAGAACCGCTGGCCGTCGGCTGGCCGAGTTGGTGGGGTGCTTGGAGGAGATTGTGGGAACGCGATCTCGCCCGAGATACCGGTTGTCGGTCGCGGCGGGGTGGGGTTGGGGTTGGGGGTTGGGGTTGGGGGTCGGCGGTCGGGGTCCGGAGACACGGCGGACGTGGCTTTGATCTTGAGCAGACCGATGTAAGAGTGCGAAGCTGCGAAGCTGCGAAGCCAAGAGCAGGAAGGGTGGCCAATAAAGAAAAGTGCTCTGGCACGCTTGGCGCGCCTTGGCGCGGCTTGGCGCCCGGACTCGCCCGGACTCGGCCGGACTCGGCCGGCGTGCGAGCGAGGAGAGGCTGGGAGAGGCGAGGTGCGGACGGGCGGGCCGGGCGGTCGGGCACACTGGGCGATCGCCGCGCGGCCATCATCTCATCCCCTTTTTTTGGCGACGCGCTCCCATTCTTTGCGCCACGAGAACACGCGATGGACATAAGCGGACAAAAAGCGGCGGCACAACAGCGCCGCCTGGCCCTCGGCCTGGCCGTCAAACTCGTAATGGGTTTACTGGGCTCTCCTTTCCGCTTCTTGCCTCACCTCGATGTGGACCTCCACTGCGAACGGCTCCCCGATCTGCACCTTGTCCAGGTCGTGCAGCCGGAAGCTGATGTCCTCGTACTCAGGCGGCGGCACCTCGTAGAACCGCTTGGCGCGCGCGCTGCCCCGCACCGCGTTGAGCAGCGAGATGCGCTCCATGTTCGTCCCTGGGAGCAGAGGGAGCGCAGGGACTTGCTTTAGCGTGACCTTTGGGTCGCCACTGTAAAACGGCCCCCGGAGCGGAGCGCCTGCTGATGGCGGGGTAGGCAGTACCGCCACGCAGCGCAGCGCGGCGTGGCGGAGGTGTTGCCTACCCGCAAGGCGCCCCGTCTCCTTGAAGCCCAAAGACTCTGTCTCTCTCTTTCTCACCCTCGGGTGCCTTGTACTGGTCGATGATGTCGTCGCAGTCCTCGTCGCCGAGCGGGTCGAAGATCCACGGGGCCTTGGTTAGAATCCTCCGGCCGATGCTACGGGGGGCAAAAGAAAAATCGTCAAAGACGCGGGGAAATTTCGAAAAAAAAAAGAAAAAAAAATTAACCTGTGTGTGTTTTACTCTTTCCCTCCGTCCCTGCCTTTCACCCTGACCCTCCCTCCCTCCCTCCCTCCCTCCCTCCCTCCCTCCCTCCCTCCCTTCCTCCCTTCCTCCCCTTGTTATTTACGCGAGACCGGCGGTCCCTGCCCTCTGCCCCCGAGGTTCGCACTCACTGATACTTGTTGGAGTCGATGCGCGTGAAGCCGAGGTCGCTGCCGGGGTCCTCCAGCCAGCGGATGACGTCTGCATTGACGGAGGCCAACATGAAGGGCACGTCGTACTTGAGGCCCACCTCGCCGCGACGGATGGCCTCCAGGGAGGCGGGCCCGCACTGGTAGAAACCTGGCGGAGCGACACAAGGACACGGTGACGAACCGGACGAGCCGTGTCGTGGCGGCGCCCAGATAAAACAACTTGCGCTCCGTCTCTGTCGCACTCATGGGGCGTCCCTTGAGAGCGAGAGAGACGAAGCGGCCAAACGACCGTGCTGCGGCGGGGCCAAGGCGGGGCCGAGGCGGGGCGGCGCGACACTGTACGGGCCGTTCAACTCACTATCAGACGTCTCCTGGGGCGTGGCGTCGCAGGCCTGCCAGCCGCCGTAGCCGCTGGGGAGGTCGAGGCGCGCCATCCAGACGTCAGTCCAGACGTGGTAGTTCCAGATGGAATCTTTGCCGCCGCTCGGGTTGAGCGGGTCCCACGGCAGCTCGTCGCGCTCGTCCGAGTAGAAGCGGTCCACGGACAGGGACGAGTTGGCGTCGTGGGCCGACACCAGGCAGGACACGACGCGCGAGGGCAGCCCCAGGGCCCGGCACACTGCAAGGCGAAAGGATTAGCAGCCACTGCCTGGGGAAAGGGAGCCTGGACCAGCCGGACCGGCCTGGGCCGCCTGGCCAGCCTGGACCTGGGACTGTACTGTTCTGTAAATCTGGGTAGGGTGAAGGGTAGGGAAGCGAGCGCCGCGGGCGTTTGTCTCCAGTTTCGGTACGCCGGGAGGCAGTTTGCCTGGGAATTGTCGCTTCCCATTCAAAACAGCTTGCGCTTCCGTCCAAACACACCGTTGGGTTGCATGCAAAACTATTAGTTGTACGAACGAAGGGAACAGCATCAGTATGGAATGTCAAAGTCAGTATTGGTGACTCGTTCAAAAGATGACGGATTTGCTGCATGAGGACGTTGTCTCGATAGTCATCTTTGCTTTTTGTTTGATTGTCTAGCATCGACCTGGCACTTAGAGGGCACTTTGCCACTTACGCGTGCAGAGGACTCCGGCGAAGATCCAGCACTGGCCGTAGCGCACGGACACCCCCGTCTCGAGGTACTCCTCCAGGATGGCGACCGAGCCCGTCCACGAGGCCGGCGCCGTGCCGTCGTCGTACTGGCCGTCCCAGCGGCCCACGAGCACGCCGCCGTCATCGTTGGCGTTCACCTGGTAGGTACGAACATATCACTGTATAACCAAAGACATGCTAAAAGACGGCAAGGAAGTGATGACGCTTACCAGCTTGGTGAGGGCGCGCGCCATGCGCACGGGGTCGCCGCGCTCCGAGTGCGCCAGGCCGGTGCGCTCCAGGACCAGCATGGCGGCGGGCAGCACGCGGCCGTCGAACTGGCCGAACACCCACTCGCGGCCGCGCGTGAAGCCCATGGGCCCCACCCACACCTTGCCCACGTCGTTGAGCACGAACTCGTCGAGCTGCGGCGCGTCCTCCATGAACACGGGGTCGTCTGCAAACCGGAAAGCCTCGATGCCTGTGCGTCCCATTGTGCCCCGCGGTGGCGTGGCGCACGGTGCGGTGCGGACTCACGTTTCTCCCACGGGTTGAACAGCAGGTAGACGGCGTCCGCGTGCTGGTACTGCAGGACGGGCGCGGCGGCGCCGGCCTCCCCGGCCAGGGCCGCGGCCTCGGCGTCGATCGTTTCCACAATCACTTGCCATTCACCGACGGGGGCGTCCGCGGGGCTCCGGACCTGGAGGCAGAGGCCCGGCAGGCCCGGCAGGGCAGGGCAAACTTTACGGACCGCCAACTTTGTTCGGATTATTTGGCGGACAGCAACGACCCTTCCGTTGCAGCGGCTGCTCGACGTCGACGCGCCGGAAAGGGAGGGGAAGGGCGCGCTGCCGCCCCGCGCTCGCGGCGTTCCACTTGGCGGAAGCTTCTTACAGCTGATTCGGAATGCAGCGCCGCGAAGGGCCGCGAAGATCCGCGAAGGGCGAGGCGCGCACTGCGGTCGATGCCGCCATGTGGCGAGTGTGGCGACCAGAGTGGCAAACACGCTTACCTCGACGGTCATGGTGTTGGCGTCCATGGCGGTGATCCTGCTCTCCCACTTGTAGGGCTCGGTCTCGAACTCGCCGTTGTCGGGCTGCCAGGGCGAGAGCCTCATGCGGCCGAGGGTGTCTCGCATGGCGTGCGGCTCCGGACCTGCAAGTTGTCATTCTCATTTCCATTCTCCCCTTTCTGTTTCGACGTGCATGCTTTATTCTTTTCCTATTTTTGGACCTTTCCTTTCTTCCCGTGTGCCTTGTTTTCCCTGTCGACGCCGGCGTGCGTGCGTGCGCGCCGTGTTTGGCCGCCTTGTTTTGTCGACAGGTACGGTATCGATTTTGGAAAGAGGAGGAGCGCCCCTAACAGGCTGCATTCGGCGTCACGCGCTTCAAGACGTCAAGACGGAGCGGAGGGGGATGGAGGGGGAAGGAGGGGGCAGACACAGGCAAATACTGACAGAAGGATGATCAGCCGTGCCGTGCTCGGAGCGCCGAGTCAGGAGGGGAAAGAGAATTATTTGGGGAGGGGGCGGGGGGACCGTCGCGGTGGCATGGTTAGCCACTTTTGTGATGCCCCTCCCCCACCCCTTTCAGTTTGTGCTCTATTCAAAATGAGATCGTAAAAGCGACGGAGCAGGCTTCCTGTATTTTTTATGTATACATAATAAAGCGTTGATGTACGCGCCGCAAGCCCGCCGCCCGCTGCGTCCAGCAGTCCAGCCCGGCCGAAATGGGCCCGGGCGGCGGGGTGGCGGGACGCGCTCGGGGTGGCGGCGACGTCGCGCAGCGCCGCGCAGCACGCGTACAATGGGACGGTGTTGAGTGACCTTGCGCTGGCCTAGTTAGCGGCGCGCGCGCTCCCAGCCTAATCTCTATCAAATCCAGAGGAAAATCCGCGGCGTGGCAGAGCGCGGCAGGGAATGGGCGGTGTGCGGTGCGCCTGCTAAGTGCGGACCACCACACTGCTTGTGGTCGAGGCGGCCAGGTCCGCGTCGTCCGCCGGGCTGCACCGCTGCAGCGCCGCGCGTTAACTTTGGGCGTTCCGGCACGTTTATTAGCGACTCGGGGGCTGCGTCGTTGATGATTGCCGCGGTCGCCGTCACCGTCGTCGTCGTGGTCGTCGTCGTCGTGGCGGTGCCCCCGACCTCCCCGTTTTACGGCCCTTGTTTGCGACGCGGAAGACGGCGGGGAAGTGCTGTGCGGCCCAGCCTCCCCCTTCCCCCCCTCCCACCGCCGTCGTGGAACTCGTCGTAGACCTCGTCGGCGACCTCGGCGCAGGCCGTGTAGACCGCCACGCCGCGCCGTTCCCTGTCGAACTTGGAGCGGTACTGCCTTCGGTACTGGCTTCCAGAGGGCCTGCCTGTGCGGGCTGCGGCGGGCTGCGGCGGCCAAGGCGGTGGCGGCGCCCCGGCGACTTAGCAAAGTAATTTCGGTCCGCAGATATAGCTGTAAACTAAGGACGCAAATTTGAGGGCGCTTGGCGCGCGCGGCGAGGGGTGCACCGTGGAGGGGCACGCGCGTCGCAGCGGGGGGCGGTGGGGCGGCTGGGGTGGCGGTGGGGGCGGGGGGGGGGGGGGGGGGCTGCTCGTGGGAGCTGCGACATAATTGAGAGGCGGGGACTTGTGAGGGAAAGCGGAGGCGGAGCAGCGTGGCGACGGCGGCAGTAAATTGATTCGGCCTGACGCCCCGCCGCGCCGCGCCCCGCCGGGGCCCTACCGCGCCCTACCGCGCCCCGCCCGGTGGAGGTATGGTGGTACCTTGTTACGGGAAAGGGAAAGGACTTGAGGGGCTGCTCCGCGCTCGGCGCCCCACGGCTCCTTTCGCCCGTTTTCATTCAGTTTACGTCCGTAAGAGGGCGGTAATGCTCCGTCATGCCAGGGTGGGGCGGGGCCAAGCGGGGCCGTGCCGGGGCGGCCGGCGACTAGTGCTACAGTTAGTGCTACTTACGGTCCGCCCTGCACCCTGCAGCACGCACCGCCCGGCTCCGCGGCACCGCCTGCAGCGCGGCGCTTCGCCCTCACTTTGGACTCGAATTAAGTTTCCGCCGATAACTTTCATCAGCGCCAGGCTCGGGCAGGCTGCCCTCTGAATTCACTACCTCCCTGACGGCCAGACGGTCTGCCGGTGTGCCGGCTGCATGTCTCTCAATTTGCAGTCGTCATTCCGCTACCCTTCCCGCCCTGCTCGGCGTGCTCGGCGTGCTCGGCGAGCGTCCCCGTCCCCTTCAGCGTGGGGCCGGGGGCCTGGCCCGGGGCCCGGCGCTCGGCTCGGCTGCTTGGCGTGTTGCCGTGCAGTGTTCTTCGCTTGACAGTCGTCCGGGACTCACTCCGGGTGGCTCGGCGCGGCGCGGCGGCGCACCGTCGCGGACGCTCCTCGGGGTGCATGTGAGGCCGCCAGGTCGCCGGCGGAGAGCTCGAGGAGGACGAGTCCATCTTGCACCAGCCCGGCCATCAGCGAACGATTCCGCCCGGCCATTTTACCTTGACTCTCTGTCTCTGTCGCACTCGCGGAGCGCCACGCGAGAGAGCGAGGAAGACGGCGTAATGGGGGAGGGAAGGGGGAGGCTAGTCGTCCAGTGGAGTGCTCGGAGTTGCTGCCTTGTCCGCCGCCTCGTGTGCGCGCGGCCGAACTCCGCGAATTATGCATCAGCCGTCTCTGTTGCGCACACGTGTGGCGCGGCAAGGGCAGCGGGTCGGCCGGCCGCAAGGCACCACGACAGTGACGCCTGGAAATTATGGCCCTTCGATTCCTCGAGAAAAGCTGTTTTCTTAAAGAATGCTTGAACGTCCCAGGTGGAATCTTTGAAGGAAACGAATTCAATCTTTTCAGTCAAGTCGGTATATTTTCAGTAGGTCGAATGACGCAGACCCGAGGAGGGCCTCCACCTCTCTCTGCACGTAAGGGGCGTTCCCTGGGTGCGAGAGAGACAGCCGATAGAGCGCTCTCCCTGAATGAGCCTGCTGCAACTCGCCGCTGCTCCACTACTGCCGCTGCCGATGCCCCGCTGCCGATGTCGCCATGACGCGCGGATGTCGGCTCTACAAATGTGACAGTCGTGTTCGCGCGTCCGGCGGCACAAACAGAAGCAGGCGGGGAGGGGGTGGGCGTGGGGGTGGGGGCGGGGGCTCCCCGATGAGAGGGTACGAGCTGCACGCCCCGCTGTGCGCTGTGCGCCATCATGTCGCAGTGACGTGATGTGTGTGTGTGTGTGTATGTGTGTGTACGTGTGTGTCTGTCTGTGTTTGTCTGTGTCTGTGTGTGTCTGTGTATCTCTCTCTCTCTCTCTCTCTCTCTCTCTCTGTGTGTCCGCGCAGGTCCTGGATAATATTACTTATTCCCATCATCATCGTTCCCGTCGATACTTCCATTCCTTCCATGCCACGCCATCCCGAGCCTTCCTCTTCCTGACCCTCCTCTCACCGCCCCCAGCGCGTGGAGTCATGGCGCTGCTGCTATCTGGCTGTCCGCTGCGGCCCGCCCTGCCCCGCCCGCCCGGCCCGCCGTCCAGCAGCAGTTACAAATCCTATAAAATACAGCCTGGGCCGCGTGAGAAGCGCCTGCAGTGCTCGTCCTCCGCTGGGCCGGCGGGGCGGGCGGTGGCGGTGCCGGCCCCGCGGACGCAGCCCTGGCGCGAGGCTAGCGACGCTCGCCCTGCCAGCAGCCAGCGCTGGTTGGTTGGCCTGAGGTGGACCCGTGGGGACCCGTGCGGACCCTTGGCCCGACCTCCAGGAGAGAAATCACGCTTCGGGAATGACTGCGATCGGTATCGAGAAAGCGAGGCGATGCCCGCCACACCCGTCTGCCCTGTGGCCGCCGCCGTTTCCGCCCCCGGAAAATCGACCGCCCCACCGAATTTCCGTTAGGAAATGTTGCTTTCTGCCTATTTTACGACTATTCAGGAGGGGAAGATCTTACAGCCCTTTATTCCTTTTTACCTTTTCCCGGGCCGCCTTATAAAACGGGGGAATAAAAAAAGGGGGTGATCGCGCTGCCGGCGGCGGCGAGCCGAAATCAAGGGGAGCCGAGGACCGGGCCGGGCGGCGGCGGCAGCGGCGGCAGCGACGCCAACGGCTGCGGGGATTTTACGACGTCGAAAAATGGCATTCCTCGTGACGGCGGCCTCGACGGCCTCGACGGCCTCGACGGCCTCGACGGCCTCGACGGCCTCGACGGCCTCGACGGCCTCGACGGCCTCGACGGCCTCGACGGCCTCGAGGGCGAGGTAGGCGATGGCTGCCGTTGCCTGCCGTTGGATGCTCTGCGGTCCGGCAGGAAGGGGACGGGGATCGGGGTCCGGGAGAAACGAGGCGAGCACGGAGAGAATCGGGCGAGACTTTGTTGAGGCATGAGGGTCAGGAGGATACAAAAGACAATTCGGAGAGCCAACAGAGAATGAGAAAGGAAAGGGAAGGAACCGGGTGGGGCCGGGGTTTCGGGGTTCGGGGTTTGGGGCGGGAGGGATCATGATGGGGCTGGGCTACTCGGCCAGACCGGGCCAGACCCGGCCAGGCCAGACGGATTGACTCGCACGGCCCCTCTGCGCCCCTATGTATCCCCCTCCCACTACTCACCCAGGGCGAAGATGAGGGTGACGGTGTCCTCCGGGACCAGGTCCCTGTTGAACCGGACGGCCACGAAGAACGGCTGGCCGCGCCGAAGCACCGCCCTGGGGGCCTCCATGTGCACCTGGACGGGCAATAAACAACGCCAGAGGGACTGTGTGAAGCAGTAGGCCGCCAACAACGGGAACAACAACAAAAGCAACTGCGGGGGCAGCGACATAAATTTTTCATACCTGTTCGAACAGCTCGGTGTGGTGCTCCTGGCCGTTCTGCTTCTCGTAGAGGTGCAGGGCTTCCACCAGCAACTCCATGATCGCGCTGGGGGGTATCTGCAACAGCGAAAATACGGTCGATTTGTTGCTGGGGCCGGTCTCTCTGTTCGCGAACGTCGTCCCGGTCGCCCTGCGGAGGGCAGAGGAGGCCATCGGGGTGCTCCATCAAAGCCGCCCTCGGCCGCCCCGGTGGCGCGGCGAGGCTCGGCAGCTCGGCAGCTCGGCGCGGACCAATAGGCGCTCAAATTTGTCCACCAGCTGGGCGACGCGGCCCCGTTCTAAATCCGCGGAACCTCCGTCGCCCTCCCCGCGCCCCGCGGAGCGACGCCGCGAGATGGATCGTTGCCGGACGACGACGATAAACGTCAAGCCAAGGTCACGGCGCATTGTCTCGCCGGGATGGCCCGGGACGGCCCGGGGATGGCCCGGGGGGCACGCCAGCGCCCCGCCCCCTCGCGCAGTCCGCAGGGGGCACGTAGCACCGCCCCGCCCCGCCCCGCCCCGCAGGTCCGCGCGTTTAATGCCTGTCCAGTCCAGGCCGGAATGGCGGCCGCGGTGCGATGGCGGTGCGATGGCGGTGCCGGAGCTCCGCGACGAACACTGTATCTCGGCGCCGAGAAATGCCAGCCGGCCGACTCCGAACAATGTCGCTGTCTCTCTCGCACTCGCGGGTTGCTCAGAAAAGGTGCGAGAGAGACGGAGCGACGCAGTCCGCGGAATGCGGCCCGGCACCCCGCGCAGATACAGCAGTGCTGTCGACCGGCGCGTTCTTGTTGGGAGTCCGCGCGGGCCGAGGACAATGCCAATGGCGCGCCCAGCCCGGGCAGGCCCCGCACAGCGACTACAACACATCAAATGTCATCAGGTGATATTTGTTTGTTATTAGGCAGGCGGGGCAAAGGGCCCGGCATTTGTATGGCTGGAGCGCTGGAGCGCTGGAGCGAGGGAGCGAGGCCCTGGACAGCCCGGCGCGGCACGGCCAGGCATCCGGGCGGCATTCATGGATCCCATGCATCATCAGCGCGGAATCGTGTAAATAGTGGAACAGTGGAGCCGTGGAACAGTGGAGCTCTGTCTTTGTCATGGAAATGAGTCAAGCGCCTTCTAATTACCCGCGGCCCCCCAAGTTGGTTATTCATTCGACGCTCCTGGCGGGGCAGCCCGCGGCCCGTCGCCTCGCGTCGCCTCGCGTCGCCTCGCGTCGTTGTGGTCAACCGCTGTGTGGACGTGCGCGCCCCGCCCCGCCGCCGCCACAGTTTTCCGCTGACGACCAACTTTTCCCTCTCCGCCCCTTTTCGCGCTGTGGCGCTGCGGTATTGTCCTTTACATCGATACGTATACGACAAAACGTCATCGAATCGGAACAATTAATTTCACCGCTGTCGGCCGCGTGGTCCGCCTGGGCATGGCCTGGGCCCGCCGTCCAGGACACGGCATAGCATGGCCAGTGGCAGCCAGCGACCGGCCGGCGGGGGATGCAGCCTGCAGCTCCCCTGCCCCCCTCCCCCTCGCCTTCCGCCGCCAATGGAGAAAACTCGCCTGTCAGTGCTGTGTGTGTGTGTGTGTGTCGTAAGGCCGCCCGGGTACAATCCCTTTTCCACCTGCTTGCCTTCGACCTGCCCGCCCCACCCGCGCACCTCGCCTTCCTGGCCAGCGCTGTCCACTCAACTTTTCACCTGTCGTCGGAGCCACTTTTGAGCGACCCTGCCGCCGCACCGCCACTCCCTCCCCATCCCCCGCGTTTCTCCAACTCTTTTTTTTTCTCTTCCTCGTCGTTTTGCGGGTGCGGTGGACTCTGGCGGCCAGGGGCGGGCCAGGCGCCGCGGGGCTGGGCGGCGCGGGGACCTCGCTTCTGCTCCAAATCCGCCTCCTTTATCCCCGGGGCGGGGCTGCCGGGGCTGCCGGGTCCCGCTGCCCTCTCTATCTCTCCTTAGGACCCAGGCCAGCGCCGTGCCACGCCACGCCACGCCGCGCCTCGCCTCGCCACGCCGTCACCGCCCTTCAAAAGCTATCTATCAATCTATTAGATGGCGGTCAGCGGACGCTAAATTGGCCGGGCTCCCGGACACACCGCCTCTGTCGTCCTGTGAGCGGGCAGCGCGGGGGGTGGCGGGGCCAGAGCCTTGTGATCACAGCCATCGGGCCGAAAGGACCCGGAAGGCCCGCTGCCGCCCGCTGCCGAGGTGGCCATGGTGGCGCGGACCCAGGCGAAAAGGGTCCGGTCCCGGCCAAGGGCGGCGGTGTCTCAATTTCTTGACTGTTGACGCTGAGCGCGCTGAGCGCGGCCCTCATACTCGGGCCGGAAGTACCCCTGTCATGTTCTCGTCTCGTTCACAAACAATTAATAGCCGGGGGCGGAGGGGACGGCCAACCCTCGGGGCGGGCGACGTGCTCGACGTGCTCACAGTGTGGGGCTCACGCAGGGATAGCCCGTCCGGCTGCATCCTGCCTGCGGTTCATTTTGTTTTCAAATGCTCCACAATCTCGCGGGCTTTGCCTGTTTTCTGGCCACTCTGCCGTGCCTATTCACTGACCCCCAGCACCGCTGTGTAGGTCTGTCGGGACCGTCCCGTCCGGCGTGTCGTCCACGAGTGGCCTGAATAAAAAAAGGAAGGTCCACTGGTTCGACTTGAGGGCAGGGGCGCCGCGAGAGGCCCCCTTTTTTGTAACAACGTGGACACACATACACACACTCACACTCGCAGGCTGTATGGCACTACAAGCCCTACTCGGCGTTCGCAAACGAAAGCGACCCTGACGCATGTGGTGCTCAACGAAATGGCACGAGGGCCCAACTTTGCCCTGACAGAGAGAGAGAGAGAGAGAGAGAGAGAGAGAGAGAGAGAGAGAGAGAGAGAGAGAGAGAGAGAAGGTGTCCCCTTCCCCCCGCTGCTCACAGACAAGCGCCTCACACCGACACGTGTGCATGTAAACCTACACTTTGCTCTCTCTCTCCGTCCTCTCTCTCTCTCTCTCTCTCTCTCTCTCTCTCTCTCTCTCTCTCTCTCTCTCTCTCCTCTCTCTCTCTCTCTCTCTCTCACACCACACACACACACACACACACACACACACACACGGGGAGGACGACGCAGGATGATGATGTAACAACAGCCGCTCGGAACGGGGGCGTGCTTGTTTGCTTGCTCTACGTGGCATCGTGTTCACCTTTCTCTTTGCTTTCCGTTTTGAGAGAAAAGGAAAAAACAAAAACGGCCACGGGGTCGGGCGACAGGGCGGGCTTGACGGGTACCAATCGAGCGTTCCGAAGTGGCTGCCCCGCTGTCCGCTGCCCCGCGGCGTCCGCGGCGTCCGGCGCGTGTAAATACGTCGCGTGTGGCGCTGTGACGTCACGTCGCGGGGGCGACCGCAGGAACGCGTCAAGCGCGGCCAGCCGAATGTATAATAAGTGCGCCATAATCATAATTCCATGATTTAAATTTATGAGGGACAGCCCCCGATGACGGGAGCGGTGAGGGGGGCGAGGGTGGCTGGACGCAGACGTGATACATGGCGGATGCCACGGCCAAAAGAGTCCCCCACCCCCAGGAGAGAGAGAGAGAGAGAGAGAGAGAGAGAGAGAGAGAGAGAGAGAGAGAGAGAGGCGCCCGGCCACTGGCTCCCCTCCCCCTCCTCTTTTCTTTTGACAGAAATCCATCTCTGCCAATAATGCGGCACGGAGAGCCAGAGGCTGCCGAGGCCGACGGCCGGCCCGGCCGAGGGGCACCGAGGGGCACCGAGGGGCACCGAGGGGCACCGCACCAAGGGGCCAGCGCGCAGCGGCCAAAGGGCAAGTCAGGCCGAGGCGTGCGCGCCAAAAAGCTTAAAGGTTATCCTAATCCTTTGCGCCCGGCCACCCGCGACGTCTCGCCACGACACGCCCGCGCGCACGTACACACTCACACACACACACCGACACTTGTTATGGCATGCAGGCCGCGGCCGCCACCCCACCCGGGGCTCCACCCCCCCTCCGCCCTGCCCCACAGCAACCCCGCTGAAGCTTTACGCGCGCCCCACCCCCAGCGGGCCAAGCGGGCCACCAAGGCCAGCCTGTGTGCATGGTGCTTTAGCGGCCCTTGGTCGCGTCCGCAAATCATCGCGGCGCGTCGCAGCGGCGCACTCCGTCTCGCTCGCGCCGTCCGCGGCCCGCGGCCGTGGGCCGTGTCAGACAGAGACAGAGACGGCTTCCGCGGCGCGCGGCGCGTCGGGGTGCCTCCCGAGACAACGGCGGCGGCGCGGCGGGTGCGGCGGGGTCCGGCCGGAGGCAGCGGTGGCAATTCCGGCGCTATAATACAGACAAATGGAGAGCATGGCGCATCGGGTGCGCGCTCGGCGGGGCCAGGGCGGGGCCAGGGAGGGGCCAGGGCGGGGGCAGAGGCCAGGGCGGCCAGGGTGGGGCAGGGCACGGCGCGCCCGTCTCTTGATTCGCCTCTTGTCATGGCAAAAGGGATTTCCTGCAGGGCCGGCCGGGCCAGGCCGGGCCGACGGAGACTCCCCACGCCACTCCCTCGGCTCTGCTGCAGTCCGGGGTGCAATCCAACACAACGCGACGTGCAGCTCGGCGGGGCGGACGAGTTAACGTCGCCGTCGTCATCCCAGAAAAGCCGCCGCGAAATGAACACACCATTGTCCCAGATTGTTCGCGCGGCGAACGTTCGGCCGCGGTTCGGACTTTAATTAATCTCGGGGTGCACCTTTTCCGCTGTGCCAGTCCTCGCCAGGCCCGGCCGTGTGTCGGTCTGCGGCGGGGCCGAGGCGGGGCAGCAGGTAGCAGTGGAGGCGGAAACTTGAAATAAAAAGTACTTTCGGTGAGACAAGGGCCGCCCCAGGCATTGGCAACTTTTACCGCCTCGCAGGACGAGCGTTGGACGTGGAGAGAAAGGATTGGGGGCCGGGGGCTGGGTCGTGTGGCGAATGCTGTTTGGAAGAGGAGGTGGTTTGGGGAGGGGGATGAGGGGAAGGGTTGGAAATCCTGGGAAAGGCGGCAGGCAGCAGTGGAGAGAGAGCCGCTGTCGAAAAAGTACCTTTGGCCTCATAAAGATCTGGCCGCCTGGCGG